ATAACGAGAATATATATATATATATATATATATATATATATATATATATATATAATCATACAATTATCCTTAAATAAATGAACTTTGATATTTAATATGTAATTAGTGATAACTAATTAAGAATGTCTTCAAATTTCTTTTAAAGAATTTCTAAGAGTTTTGGATGCATAAATATGTAATAGTTGATTGTAATATCTAAATTAAAACTAATTATCATTTTATAAAATTAACAAAAACTTAGCAACATCATTAAAATGTTATAAAAATACCACTTTGATAATATTTGAAAAATATTGCCTAATTGTATAAAAATATTATTAAAAGTCTTTAGCAATACGAATTATATACAATATTTGATAATATATTATTACAAAAACAAATTAACAATATTTATATATAATTAGACTACATTAATTTTTTTAAATTTTAATAAAAGCTGTGTGTTGTAATGAATAATACATGGAACAAATTAATATCCTCAATTCTTAATGTCTTTAGTTAATAGGCTAGGCTACAAGACTTACAAATTTCTTCGTAGTTATGTGAATAAAAAAATAGGTCTGTTAAATGTATGGTTTACAAACTGTCTCGCGAATCTCTGTTCATATATCCGTTCCTACTCTTTTATCGAGTTTAACGTTGTTTCTACTTTGTGCAACGTACTTGTTTCTTTTGTATACTTTATGAGGGGGAGAACTATTAAGATGAATCACCATAATATTCAAAGGAAAAAGTTCGATGGGCACCCTTAAATTTGTGGTGTATGAGTGGAAAGATGAGAGAAATTAAAAGAACAATAAATAAATAAATAAATAAATAAATAAATAAAGAATGAAGAATAAAATAACTCATAAGAATACCTTTTAAAGCTAGAAATGAAAAGAACTATTATTTATCCTTAGATCAAATTAAAAATAATAGATGATTGAGATTAAGTTTCTATTTTAGAGTATCATATGCCCTATTATCCGTTTTATTTCTTTTCACTATTCACGTCAAACCTCTCCTCTTCATTCCCTTGTTGGACGTAAAGAAGTTTGCTTTGCATGCAATTCCGGAAATGAAGATATTCATTTCTCACTTTGCATACTATTCGGGGCTTGGATACATGAATTACGTTTGAGTTTTGACAGGATTGATAAACCCAATCATTTATTTATTTTACCTTCTTGTTATTTCTTAAAATCATTCGGGTTTGAAGATCATATTTTTATTATTATTATTTAACAAATTCAACTATTTTTTTTTTGTTAATTATTGTTTTTGATAGCAAGGCCTTGGATCGTCATCCTTGTGTTTCTTACTGAACTTGATGAAAAAGTACAAGCTAAGAGAGAAGGGAGGTGCAGAACAACGAATATATGCTACGGGAATTAAGAGGTATCATTAATTAGTTCATGCATTTTCCTTTAAGAAAATTACAAATCTTTTATATTTCTTCATGAAAAATTGTTATGTCAGCAGGATTGTGCTTATTGTTCAATATATTCATGAAGTTTATTTCATTTATGATTGTTCTAGTAACCAAAAAATTATGGTGTTTATATTAAACTTTTTTTTTTTTTGCTACCCTCCCTTATATGTAACATTATACTCTTAATTAGGTTCGGGAAATTGACGAGGAAAAACATCAACTTGGTGTCGTAGTCCACACATGAAATACCCTAGAATTTTATTCCAAATCATTAGTTAACAATTTTATATTGGCAAACTTTGACTAAACTATATACAAATCTAAAACAAACAAAATATTTCTTCCCCCGTCGTGGGCAATTAGGTGGGTTGTTGA